TTCACCGACACAGCACCATCATCCCCCGACTTGTAGATGGAGAGCAGGTGCTTCCGGTTCATCCTTAGCTGCACAAGCAGGACCTTCCCAGCAGCCACCGCAGCCATATATGATTTCGCAGTCATATATCATGCCGCCATCGCCTTTCCATTACCAGATGCCGCCACCGCCACCTTCACCTGGTTTTATGACCCCGCAATCGTCACAGATGACCCCTCTTGGAGGCTATTATGGGTCTATGTTTGCAGATCCGATATGGGGTTCATATGCTAGATATTTGGCGAGTTCAGCCTCATCACCCATGGCCGTAGCACAGACACCGCCTCCTGTACAGTTTTCACACTCAGCGATGTCTGGGTTTTATGAGTTTTCCCAGTTTTCGCAGGCCGATGGGATAGTCAATCATACACCTCCAGGGTCCTTATTCTACGGAGGTGCTTTATCGTCATCAGCTCCTCATGTACCTGCACAAGACGACGACGATGACGATGGTGATGATGATGACAGCGAGGAGTCAAAACCAGTGATACGAAGAAATCCTCCTCGAGACCGACAGCCACCGCCCTGCGGAACACATTCGCGTCGCATGCATCGATAGTTTTGTTTTTTATTATATTTGTATTTACTTTATTTTGTTAAATTGTAATTTTTTTATTTCTCATTTAATACTTACTTTATTTTGTTAAATTTGTTGGACTTTTTTAATGTATTTCAGTTCGTTTTTTTATTACCATTTAATATCAGTTATTATAATTTGGTTATCATTTACCATTTAATACTTATTGTTATTAGTTTGTTAAAATTTAATGATTGTGTTTGTTTTTTTAATCTTCATCGGTGATTATCAAATGACACTAACTTGAAGTAAATGCAAATTAAAGTAGAAGAATTATTATTTGATAATAAAATACATCATTTCCTCATCAATTGTTACTTGATGACAACAGCAGTGGACATGTTTTTCTAGTGTGTCATGGGTTTCTACAATGCCCACATCTTCTGTCTTGTCTATATCTTTCTCTAATATCCATATCGCAATGAATTCGATTGGATTTTGGACTACCACGCTCCCTCAATAAACTCGGATTTGGTACAATTGGAAGCCAATCTTGAACCTCATCAGGGTCTTCTTCATTACTTATGGGGGGAAACTCAAATTCGTATACCTTAAAAACTTCAGATAGTAGGTATACGAGATCCACAAAATGGTTATAGTCTTGACGTGTATGCGAGCAAGCTGCTATCACATGAGAGCATGGATACTTCAGAGCTTGAAAAAACCCGCAGTCGCACGTTCTGTCCCTTAGATTTACTCTTAACGACACAACTTCAATCCCTTGAAGAGGTCGCGACAACTCTGTGACACGAAACATTTCATGCCTTCTATAGAAGCTTGTTACAGACATTCCATTTGATGCAGTAATTTTTTTCTGTAGATCTGCAACTAATTTAGGGTGATAGACATGACCGCCTTGCATCCAGGTTTGAGCTTGTCCCCCGAGCTTCGCAAAAAGCGCCCCCAAACGAAAATATGTAGTCTTTACCAAAGCCGCTACCGGTAAGTGACGTGCACCCTTTAAGGTTGAATTGATTGTCTCTGCCAAGTTGGTCGTCATGTGTCCATATCGATATCTACCATCATATGCGTTCGTCCATATTTCTTTATCGATGAGGCTGATGTAATCATATCCTTCCTCGTTCTTCACCCGTAACTCTTGAAACATTGATTCAAACGTTCGAGGAAGTAGTTCGTAACCTGATCAAAAAATATATAACTTACTAACTTGCTGTCTTTGCAAAATTAAAACAATCGAAAGAAAACAAACTTGCTAAGTTTCACTTACTCATGCGCACAATTAATTGACGCTCATCATTCTTCTTGTACCTTCCATGGTAGTTCGCGGCAATGTGTCGAAGACAATACCTATGTTGGACAAAGGGTAGTTGCCACATTGGACCTAAAGACTCCATTGTTGCTTTGATCCCAGCTCCGCGATCTGAAATGACACAGATGTTTTCCCTCGTGATAACATGTGCCCGTAAATTTCGGAGGAAAAAAGCCCAAGAAGTTGTATCTTCTCCTTCGACAAGAGCAAAAGCAACTGGAAGAATGTTACGATTGCCATCTTGGACAACTACCAATAATAAAACTTGCTTGTATTTTCCATACAAGAAAGTCCCGTCGATCTGGACCACAGGCTTGCAGTATTTGACAACATTAACGCACTGTGGGTAACTCCAAAAAACCCGGTAAAATTGGCATCGATCACGAAGAACTCGATCATTATGGTATGGATAGGAGGTTTCGAAGTCCACAATTGTCCCAGGATTCAACGTTCGCACCAGCCTAAACCAACCTGGAAGTTCGTTGTAAGATACATCCCATTCGCCATGGAGTTTGACAATGGCATTTTGTTTTGCCATCCAAGTTTTTTTATAGGAGACAGTGTACCCATACTGCGATTGTATAGCTGAAATCAACACTGCAACAACTATATGAGAGCTTGCTTTGACCATGGGCATGATGGCTTGGCATATCACTTTAGAGTCCAAGTTGGGATGATCTTGGTTGACCCCTCCAGCACAACATGTGTGAGGACCGTTGTATACTGTTAGTTCCCATCTGTTGTTTTTCCTCTTCCTCTTCGATACGCGAACCATCCAATTGCATCCGTTTTCGCGCTGGGCACAGTAGCATACATATTTTTCGATCGTGGAGCGGTCTACTCTGGACTGAACAGAATTACGGATATTGTAATTTTTGATAACCATCATCGCTTCTTCTTTGCTTGAAAACTCCATGCCTAAAGATAACTCACCATTATTTATTGATGAGTAATACCCATAGTCGCCGAGATGAGGCATATCCGCAAATTCTGGCCCGTATATTGCACCATAATCAGCTTCATACATGTGTGCAGGAGGGTCAGTTTGTGCCACATTTCCTGGAACTTCATCATCATCGGAATTGAATTGCGGTGATTCTGGGTCAATGAATAGTGCAGTCTCAGTACTATCCGCACCAGGCTCACGAAGCGGTTCTTCTGGTGGAGATGATGGTTCCTCCATGCTCTCCACATTTAGGTCGAAGAACCTTCTCCTTGAACTGGAAGGCATATCGACATTGAGATCGAAAAAGCTCACAGTCGAATGCCTCCCCCTAGAGCTTGAAGCCATCGCGTCAAATGAAAACTGCACAGATGATTGCGTCGATGGCATCTCCATATTAAGGTCAAAGGGATTTGCAGATGAATGCATTCCCCTTGAACTGGACGCGATGTTGCCATATGGATTGTTCGTCGACCTACCTCGGTACATATCGTAAGGAGTTGCGGATGAATTTCTCCCCATTATGGCATTAAAATCATTACACATTACTGTCGTCGGGCTGTCAACTTGATCAACTTGTTCAGTCAGCCCATAGTGGGAGCTTAATGATTGACCCCGAACAACACGCACTTGAACAAAATGTGCATACATCTCAATAGCGGCGTCTGAATAATTACTTTGAGCTTCAACCATCATTTCAACATCATCATTGTTCGAAAGTTCGAACGCTGTATAAGTTAATGGCAACAATGATGTTGGAAATCTATACTGCAACGACGACACTCTTCTACTACTTCCAACATGAATCTTCCTCGAAATCTTCGTTATCAGCTCCTCAAGAGTTATGTTTCTCTTGAATGATATTTTAACACGCTCATTTGATACGAAAACAATGCCGGTTTCATCTTCTTAAATTTCACCATCATAATAAACAATAGCTGAAAGTCGCGCCATTATTTGAGTTTAAAAGTGCGACACTATTATATCTGCAAAAAAAATAAATGAAACAAACCTGATTTAATAAATTATATATGAACGAACATATAACACAATAAAATTTTTACACATCAACGTAAATAAATTAAATAATATAATTTAATATTATTACCTGCACCGCAAAACTATTTCGACGTATGCTCCCACTTTCCAATTTTACAAACACAAAAATTAATTGAAAATAATTAGTATAATATTTTTTTCAAATAATTATAATAAACAATAAATATAATAAAAAATTATAACAAAATTACCTTATAACGAAAAATCGCACGAACTTCTAAATAAAATATGAGAAGATTGCTAGAATTATTGACTCGTTGACGGAATTGTTGTATTAATTTATAAGTTGAGAGGAGAGATGTGAGAAATTAACCGGCGGAGAATGGTATCTATAGCGAGGAAAGTTATACAAAACGCGGTACTTGCCCCGCGCTATATAAAATTATGTCAGGAGTAAAGGTATGTCGCGATACCTGCCCCGCGCTATATAAAATTATGCAGTAAAGGTATAGCGCGGTACCTGATCCGCGCTATATCCCTACGTGGCGTATAGCGCGCTGCAGGGGCCGCGCTATACCCACGTGGCGCCAGCTCACCGTATAGCGCTGTGCAAGAGGCGCACTATACCCCACGTTGCGCCAAATCATCGTATAGTGCGGTACAGGGGGCGCGCTTTACTGTTAAGGGTGTTAGATCGGGAAATATAGTCTTACCGGTATTAGATCTATAATATTACTGGTTACCAGTGATATATCGGGAAAATCGCCCTTGGCCTTGGCTTCGTGTTCCATCTGTTAATCAAAGGAAAGGAAAGCTTAAAAAAACCAGAGGCCCCTACCAATCCTTCGTGCCCCCTCTTGGCATTTTATACATAATATATATATATATATATATATAGGAAGAAGAAATGGGATTTGGCTTGAATTAGTGGGGTTGTGGCCGGTCATGATGGAAGGGGGAAGCAATGGCTGTTGGGTAGTGTTTGAGTGGGTAAGGTAATGGTGGGGTAGTGGTTTAGTGGGATAGAGGTTATTGTTTTTCAACTTAGTGGGTGCAAAAATAAAAAATAAAAAATAATAATAATAATAAATAAATATTTTTTTTGTAGACCCGGATAAAAATGGTGTCTACACATGGTTATACGTTTCCTGAGTTGAGAAGATCTATTATCATCAAATTTAGTGTAGGATGACATGCAATATGTGTAAAGCAGTTTCGAAACACTTCATGCTCCTTGGGTTATGCTTGCAGCCCTTGGTGTTGTGGTTCCAGAAATATTAGATATGCTCGGTATATCTCAATTTGCTGAACCCGTTTGGTGGCGAGTGGGCTATTCCAAACTTCAGGTTCTTAATTTGCATCACTTCATTTCCTACCTTCATATTTTAGCCTGGAATGTTTAGATCTTGTTTGTTCTTGGTTAATTCCCTTGGTAATTTTTATATACTTGTTGATAGACCAAATGGGTTAGGAGGGTGGTAGACAATTATCTTTTTCTAATTTGGGTGGAGAGCCATAGTTGATAGTAGATCGACCGTTAACTGGTGTCAAAGTGCTCTGTCTCCATGAAGCGATACAGAAGAGAATAAGAGTGAGGTGATTTCATTAAGGTCCATCCTTTCTCTCGGACTTGGTCGAGAGGATTTATAGTAGTCCTTAGTGTATGTGTCAGCCGTAGAGTCATAAAGGCTACTCGTAAGCTAGCAGGTTAAGTGGTTACGATCAAGCCAGGTGACTATAGATTTGATAGGTCACGTGAGCCTATTAGAAATCATGTCAATAAGTCACGACTTCCCAAGATTTAGTTCTTCAAGATCTTTTCTCCATAGACGTTCTCTCTTTGTCCTCCAAAGTTCCTTTGATACCAAAGAGTTGTAGGAGCTTTAGGGTCCTTCAACAATTGTGAGGCGCAAGAATGATGTGTACGGAAGAACTTTGGTAGGAGTACAACAATAAGGAAAACCATTTTGGAAGCTACAAGATTTTGGTATATGTGGAAATTCACTGAAAAACTTCGGATATACAATAGGAAACAGTCATCTTTCTTCTTGAAACCCATCCCGGATTGCAGACTTGAGACGTCTTAACTTGAGTGGTTCCTTGCAAACGAACAACGGATCAACATCCAGGAGCTGTTCAATCAAATTTGATTTGATTTGAAAAGTAAAATGTACCAAATGGTAGCATTACAACTTATCTGCTATTGATTTTCATTAGGGAGAAACACTGGACTACCTTGGCATCCCAGGTCTACACTTAGCCGGAGGGCGACGGGTGATCGTCATTGCTATCTGTCAGGCCCTCCTCATGGTAATGGATCTCAATATTCATGCTTTGCATTCTGGGAAATAAGAAAGATTGTTGACAACATGTGAAACACTTTTGTGCAATAATATATAGGTTGGGCCATAGTATGCAAGATATTGCAGGATCGAGGCGTTGGAACCACTCGGAATATACTTGCCGGGCGATGTTAATTATCCAGGAGTGCTATTTGACCCATTGAAGCTCTCAAACGATACTGTAGCTTTTGAGGAGCTGAAGGTGAAGGAGATTAAAAATGGGAGGCTGGCCATGGTTGCTTGGTTAGGCTTTTATTTCCAATCGGCTTTGACAGGTAAAGGCCTTGTAGAGAACCTAGTTGACCACATCGCTGATCCATTTCATAATAACCTATTTTCCCTACCAAATTCCATGTAAATACATTATTATGTATGTTGTCATAGATATATTGATACTTTGTAAAGCCATTCAACACATACTTTCAAGTTTTACTTGAATGATGGATGCATGTAAATGACCAAGCTTTCTGCAATTGACATGGCTTTGCATTTAGAGATAATCACAATATAGTATGTTTTCAGAATATTTCTTAACCATTAACAACGCACAAACACTCTGTAGACACAGTTGCTCAAACTTGAGACCTCTATGATTTTGCATTGATATAATACATCAGTGTAGATATTAGCATGAAAATATGATCTTCAGAAATCTTCCAAATACACATAAAAGGAAATATACCCATCAAAGACATGTATCTATATCCAACACTCGCCACTCAAATCTGAGTACATAAACAAAACAAATGGAAATTTCCTTATATAGACAAACCTTGGCATGGCTCAATCCTGGTAAACCCTAATTATTTTCTTTTTCTTTCAGATAAAAATAAATAAAAAAATAGCAGCTAAAGAACGCTGAAACAACAGCCACTTTCATTAATAGAGCTTTTGTCTGTGTTGTTGGGTCATCTAGGCTCATTGTTCATTTGCAATGATCCATCCTTCATCAATTTCAGGCTGAGATTGTTAAACCTCTCTCGTGAATATTGTCTTGATGCTTTTCTCCAATCCGTACCGGCCTTCATCATCGCGGCAAACTCATCGTAACTTATCCTCCCATCCTGCAGTAGATTCAGCAAACACAATATCGGCATGATTTCATCATATGCATCGAGAGATTACAGGCCTTTTCTTATTAGTTTTTCTTTCCGCTTTAAATGGTGCTATGAGCTTAAATTTGAGTCGGGGCCACATTCGATATATGTCCTACTTGAAATTTGATAAAGTTACTAACAGGAATAAACTGCCAAGGGAGCAAAACGAGGGAAAATCTCTCTAACCTTGTCCGTGTCGACATCATGCATGATGGCGCTGATGACTCCTTCACTGTTTGTTTCAACTTCATCGGATAAGGCATCTCTTAGTTCCTCAATCTCAATATATCCACTTTGGTTTCTATCGAAAAACTCAAATGCCTTTTTAAGGTGCTCGTCGTTGCCCATCTTCCTCAGGTGAACTGAAATGGCAACAAACTCTCCGTAGTCCAGATATCCATCTTTATCTACATCGCCCTGTGATGAAAATATTAAATAACAAATTTTTAGTTACTTCTCTCGCAAAAGTGGCACATGTTTAGATAATCTATGCAATGCATATATTATTCTAACTCCAGATATGACAATGACCACCTATGGATGTTCAAGAGTCAATTTTGAACATAAGAGAAATCATGTTGACCCACTAGCTTTTACAAACTCAATCTCAGTGGAATATTGGCTCCGTACAAGAGTGAACAGTTGTACGAAAGTGAAAACTGATTGCAGAGACTATGAAGCCGTTACCATCAACAAACTAATGGTGACACATTTTCAAGCATGCACCGCCAAATATCGATGACAAAACGAAACACAATGCAAACTTTGGGTAGAACTTACAGCTTCCATTAGTATTTGAAGATCTGCATCAGGAATAGTATGCTCAAGTTTATGCAACCCAGCCCTTAGCTCATCAATGTTAATCTTGCCTCTATTGGAAGTATCCATCAATTGGAATCCCTCTTTTATGCCTGCAACTTCCTCAATTGAGAGATGCTCTGCTATTACCTGTCAGTATACAATTTCCCGTAAAGAAAAGTGGTAAAAAGGTTAATAAGAAATGACTTGAAAAGCTTTATTTAGTTTCCAATGTCCACGAGAAAAGCAAAAAGCATTACCCGGAGAGCTCTTTTCTTGAGCTTGTTCATTACAGAGAACTGCTTGAGCCTTGCCTTCACAGTTTCTCCCAAGGAAACATTTGGAGCCTTCTTTGCATTTTGCAACCAGGGATGATCTGAATTCAATAGACAAGAAACGATTCAGTTTAGGATTCATATCCAAATAGAAACAAAATTTTGCTTAGAAAATTTATTGGAGGCCAATAGAACTTTCGTGGCCAGAAAACCTATATCAGTAGAACTAAAACTTACCTAGTACTTCCTGAGCTGTAAGTCGCCGCTTAGGGTCAGGATTGAGCATTTTCCTCACAAGGTCTTTCGCATTCTCGGAAACTTTAGGCCAAGGATCCCTCCTAAAATCTATAACAGAGCGAATAATAGCCTGCGCAACTCCTTGTTCAGTTTCTGCATACAAAAAGGAAAGTTAGAGAGGAAAAGGAGATAAATAAATGTAAGAGGGAAGTGAATAATAATATATATGAAAGGCGTATTAAGTCCCATCAGTATTTATCACATAAGGTGGAAATAGGACTAATTGAGGAAGTCAAGAAAAAATTGTGTTAAGACTGAATTCAATTGGGAAGGGGAGGAGGATAATATTAGAAACCATCTGCTGCAGTTCCTAAACACGAATGCACAGGAATATATAACTTTCATTACTCGAACAGCGATTCTCTTTAACCGAATCAATACAAACCTGCCCAGAAAGGTGGGACACCACAAAGTAGGATGTAAAGGATCACACCAGCACTCCAAACATCAACTTCAGGGCCATAATTTCTTTTAAGCACCTCAGGAGCCATGTAGTAGGACTTCCAACTATCTCGGTAAATATTTCACCTGCAACGGGAAATATTCAAACTTCAACAATAGAACAAACATAGAAGGTGAAAACTTAATTCAGAGGGCACTAAGTTATTGATATCATGTTTGTCAATACCTGGTTTAAAGAACACTGACAAACCAAAGTCAATCGACTTCAAAGCCGCTGTTTCTTTTTTATTAGCAAACAGAAAGTTCTCAGGTTTGAGATCTCTATGCATCACCCCATGTTTGTGGCACATCTGTAACAACAAAAATACACTGGTATTAACTTAAGATCATAATTAAAGGCACAACGAAACGAGTTTTTCTTTAATAGCTGTTGTGCAAAGAAATATTGCAGGACATTCTATTATGTTTCCAAGAATATCCTACCAATGGCTATAGGTCTGCCTCAAGATAGAACAGGTGTTTTAAGGCTATACAGAATAAAATAACACATACTAGTAGAATATGGAAAATCTAACAATTGAATACCGTAAAACATAGGTCCAAGAAAGCACTTGGAATCCAAAATTTTGTGCAGCACTTCAGTTTAATCACTTCAAGCAACTAGTTCAGAAAATCATTTGGAAACCTAAAGTTGTACATTTGTAAGGGAAGAAAATTCAAGATGAAACAAAGCTTTAAAAAGAAACACAAAAGTGTCAGTATCTCATCAAAACTCAGAGCCTAAGTTAATCAAATTCCATTAGAGAAATCCAACAATATCCCCATAACCAAATGAAAAGGAAAAAAGAAAGAGAGAAAATACCTGAACAACTTCAACAATGGTCTTGGTGACAGCAGCAGCAGCTCTCTCAGTATAATGACCTCTAGCAACAATCCTGTCAAACAACTCACCACCTTCACACAACTCCATAACCAAATGGACCGCATGGTCATCCTCATAAGTATCTTTCAAGGTAACAATATTCGGGTGGTGAGGTAAATGCTTCATGATTTCAACTTCCCTTCTCACATCCTCAATGTCAACGGCTGTCCTTAGCTTCTTCTTCGATATCGATTTGCATGCAAAAGTGTCCCCTGTTTCCTTATCTGTACAAAGATATGTGATCCCAAATTCACCACGCCCAAGCTCACGCCCCAGTTCATATCTCTGCTCAATTTCTTTCCCAGTTGGATCACTCAAAACGATGAGTTTTGCCCTCCGTTGCCCTGTCCATGTTGACCATAATCTATAGAAAATGGATTTTGCTTCTTCTTCCCTTTCTTCTCTTTCTTCCCATGAGAAGGTGTTGATGGAGTCACACAACAATTTCCCATGAATTTAAACCCAAAACAGTGAACAAAAAGTCAAAATCTTGATCTTTTTGAGCAAAAAAAATTTGGGAAAAGAAAGACCTTTTTTTTAAAGATTCAAGCTTTGAGATCTAACAAAGCTTCTATTTTTTTCTTCAAATTGACAAAAACAAAAGAAGAAAGAAACTTGGGTCCTAGATTTTTAAAGAAATTTTAATTGAGGAAGAGAAAAAGAAGAAGAAATAAATGAAAGTTATGGTGAAGGATTAAAAATGAAGCAATGAGATGAAGGGTTAAGGATATAAAGAGAAAAAGAAGAAATTTTCTTTTATAGATAATAATCAAAAGCGTGTTAAGATTGTGAAGAAGAGGAAAGAGCCAACAACCCTCACCATTTGAGAGAAGAGGTTCAAACTTGTTCTATTTCTCAGAGACTTCCTTCATTCTCCCTCTCTCTCTCTCTCCAAAATGTCTTTTTTTTTTAAAAAAAAATCATACTTTTCTTCTTGTTTGACTTCACTACCTCTTCGAAAAAGACAAAATCACCCTAATCCTGGACATATGGAACTGAGGGTAAATTACAAGTTTAATACCTAACTATCACTTTTGTTCTCTTTGGTCACTGATCTATTTTCTTTAAATCACACCTAACGTTTTAATTTGTGATCGCAGTTAAAAACATAAAAAAAACTATTAATGTGATATTTTTATAAAAAAGTTATGATCATGTGATATGTGACACGTCAGTATTATTGTTAAAATTTTTACAGAGGGAATTAGGGATAGGCATGGGTTGATTTTTTAGTCAACCCGATCCGACCCGGAAAATATAACTCCTTCACCAAAACCCACTCGACCCGAGGTTAGGGTGGCTTCATCCAACCCAAAACTCAACCCGCTTTTTGAGATAAAACCCGACCCGAAATAAATATATTTATAAAAATTATTAATTTTATTCGATAAAATAGAGATTTGATTGAAAAATAATATAAAGAAGGGTATTATTGCAATTACATCTAAATATATAAGGTATAATTATGTTATTTTTTAGGTATGCGGTATTTTATCCTAAACTTGAACTCGATCTGACTCGAACTTATTCTTTAAAAAACTCAATCTGATTCAACTAGAATTCATTTTTTTTAAATTCCGACTGTTAATTTAACACATATTTTACCTACCATTAACCCTTAAAATTATTTCCGAAAATCTTTAACCAAATCCAAAACAGATTTCTATTTAGGAAACCTAATTCAAGCTTGGACATATTTTTATGTATCTTTAGAATAAAATAAAAAAATATTATGCAAAACAACCTGCATGCATGCATTTATTTCTAATGATTAATTATACCATGAGAATATAAAGGATAAAAAAAATTGGATTTTTTTTAAATAATGTGGTTATCGTTATAAAAATTAAGGTAAAATTAAAAAAATAGTAAAATTTTGAAGATTGATTTTGTTACCATATCTTAAATAAAAGGTGGATTTTTTAGAAAAATATTATGTGTACTCGTTTATTGATATGAATAATTTTTATACATTTTGAAAATAAACATTTAATTTTATGTGTTTTTAAAAATTAAAAATTGAATTAAATTTTAGTTAAATATTAAAGACTAATCTTATTGTTATGTCTTTAAGTAAATAAAAAACATCACGTATCAATTTTAGGTGGCTCGCGATTATCACTTTAGATTTCGTAATAAAAAGGATCGAGAACGAAAATGATTTAGATGACCTTTAGAAATTTAATAATAATATATATTAAGCATTAATTAACCTTAAATAATATATTAAAAATATAATTCTAGTTAAAAAATAAAAAATAAAACAAAGGTTTAATTTTTAGGATTAAAATAAAAGTGGTGGTGCTAGGATTTTGGTTTTGGAGTAGAAATGATATGATAGAAAAAAAGAGAATGATAAAATAAAAAGAAAGAATGTTTAAATCTAAAATAATTAAATTGAAAAGGTTAATTTTACTGTTTTAAACATAAGGGTTTCTTTTTAATTCTTAAAATTAGGATAATTTTTATGTATTTTTTTATTTTTTGAAAAACAATACTAAATTGATGAATTTTATAAATGAAGAGATTACATTTATTATTTTATTTAAAATCAAAACTAAATTGACAAAATATATATATTAATGATTAGGTATATTATTATGCTAATTAGAAAAGAAGTCACGTTGTTATTATCGTTGACATTTAACGACAAGTGACGAAAATTTTAAATCTCAAAATATTGATGGAAAAGTTTAAAGTTTTCAAAATTAGATAATCAAAATAGAAATTATCCAATCATTTGACGAATTGTAATTATATCGATTAAAAGTATTAATATTTTTCTAATTTTAAAAATTATAAAATATGTATTTTTTGTGGACATGTTAAAAAATAAATAAAGTTACTAAAATAAAATTCAAATTTTATAAATATATTCAATTACAAAAAATACAATAATTTATGTAATTTAATAAAATTTAATGTAATTATCTTCTAGAAAGAACACTTTGTTTTTAATAAATTGGTCTAGAATTTAAAATGGCAAATTACATGTTTAGTACCAGCAATCACTTTTGTTCCGTTTCAGTCATTGAATTATTATTTTTTAAATCATACGTAGCTTTTAGTTTTGGTTTCATTTTGGTTATCCGTCTTTAAAAATTAACGGTGATATTGATATGTCACCATAAGATAATGTCACGTCATTATTAAAAAAATAAAAAAGAATGTCACATTAGTTGTTCTGTTAATTTTTTAACGAGTGGTGTCTAAAATAAAATCAGAAAGTAACATTATGTATGATTTAGAAAAATAATTAGGTGATGTAAACAGAAGTAAATTAATAATAAAGAAACTAAACATGTAATTTACCCTTAAAACTATCTTCGTGGATAAGTTTGTCTGTAATTTGCTAGCCATTCAGCATTAATAGTGGTTCATAATTTCAATTGGGGCCATCTAGAAGGCAGCCGAACGGAAAGGTGAGTGTTTTAGAACATTTTAATTCCATAAATACCCTTATAAGCAGTGTTAAAAAAAAACCAACGATATATGCACAAATTAAACGATTTCATTAGTTAAAGAATTGTTATTATTTTTTGAGGTTTCGATTTGAGTATTGTGTATATAAATATATAAATGTTCAATATCAATTGATTGAGAGTCTTTATATATATATATATATATATATATATATTTGTATAACAAAAGTTTAGATCAAGGGTGGCTCATCCAGCAAGGGTCAAGACATTCTTAAGACCCAATTGAGATTTACATATGAATTTATAGATTGCCCTTTAAGAATAACGGTAGTAGGATTCAAACTCGATCTTATAAACTCGTATTTTCGAATCTCAATTACTTGTACATCACTCGTCGGCTAAAAGTCTTTAAATATATATTACTTTATATTTAATAAAAAAATCGAATAAAAGTTCAAATCAGTTAAATAGTTGGTAATTAACCATAAATTATTCAATAAAATAACAATTTGAATATTTAAATATCATTGATTACAAATAAAAATATTAGTAAAAATAATGATATAATCTAAAAATAATTATTATTCGTCCAATCCAATTTTTTAAACCGTTGAACATGTTTATTTTCTGTTAAATTTCTTTAATATATATTATCTTATTTTTCGATTCTATCCAATCAATGGCTCTAATTTCTAATTCCATAAGCAGAAAATTGCAATGACATAAACTGCATTAAATATATATTTAAATTTTATAAATAATTTATATAATTGTTATGAAGATTTTCTTATATGAATGTTTGTTATGATTAAAAATTATAAAACAATGTAATAATCAGGATCTTGATGTACGTTATTATCAAGGATGAACACATGACTTTATGTCAATGGACAAATTATAAAATTCGAAAGGTGAAATTAAATCATTGAAATATAAATAAAATAATTAAATTATATAGAAATTTAAAAATTCTAAAGGACGACCTTTAACAACCTAGAAATTCTGAGTCAACAATTAGGGTTAATCCGAGTTAGTAAGGGGATAAGTTTAGAGAAATTGGGCTAGTCTCTGAAGAGGGAGCAATAGGAGAGGATCTAAAGAGCAAATAACCCCTTTTCAATAAAAAATATAAATTTTGGTCCCAATATTTTAAGCTTGCCGTCGGTTCTAGAAAAACAAAAGAGGTCAAAGTGACCTCAATCTCCTCTTACTTTCATCTTTAGGATGTAGTTGAGATAGGGTTTAGGGTTTTAAATTTAAATCAAGAGGTGGATTTTCATGGAAATAAGTTGATAGATGAGTTAGGGTTTTAGATTTTTGGGGAGTTTATGGCCGATTGGGTTTGAGTAGAGATTAAAACTTGATTCAACTCGAAAAAATTAAAATTTTTGAGTCGATTTTTTGTTAAAATTTTTACTCGAATTGATTTGACTCAAAAAATTTCAAATTCGAATTGAGTTATAAAATATAACTTGAATAATTTGAATTTTTTAGTAAATAATAGATTGGTTTTCAAGTTTGAGTCGAATCCCTCAACTATGCATGATGCACGTGTATCAAATATTAAAAAATATGAAAAAATATATGTATATGTATATTGTATATGGTTATATAAAATCGTTTAAATTAAAATCAAATAGTATCATAATATTATAAATATTTTACAATTAAATTTAAATAGAAACTCGAACAATTCGACTCGTATCGAATTTCATAAACTCAACTCAATCCGAAAAAAATTCAAGTAAAATTTGAGTTATAAAATATAACTTGTCAACTCGAATAACTCAAAATTTGTTAACTTAACTTGACTCGATCAAATACTCATCCCTAGATTTAAGAGCTGAACCTACCTCTCTATTAACTTTGAATGCATTATGATATTTTCTACTATTTGTTTATCTAGTGAATGAAGTGGGAAAATATTCTCAAGTTAAAAAGGAAACGAGAAAGCTTTGCAAGAAGTTCACAACGATTTTTTTAGGTAGTATATGTTCGTATTTTTTATAACCATCAATAATATATATATACTTTGATGACGCAGTTATTCAAATTCGAGATTTT